TTCATGCAGTAAATCTTTTCAGGCCGCAGTATTACCATGTGTCCGTTCTTTACTGTCAAAGTAAAAGGTTAGTAGTTGTCGTCTTCTGAAACTCATAGGTTGTCTGTCTTTTATTAACAGGAAATATACTTGGTGACCGAAGCTGACAAGAGAGGCTGGCAAAAGCTAGCGAGGGAGAAATACCCCGGAGCGTTGATCTTCCATGACAGTAGATTGGCCGTGGGACCCACCCCTCTCGAGGGCGTAGCCATATTGATGTGGCTTCCGTATTCGATAATTCTCGCGATTGTCAGGATTATCGTGACGCTGTCCCTCCCGCACAGCATCTCAACTCCTCTGCTCACCTTCTCTGGGCTGCGTCTCACGGCGTCATTGCCCACGAACTCGGCCCAGATGTCCTCCAAAAGCGAAGGCCGTCTTTATGTGTGCAACCACAGAACTCTGCTAGATCCTCTCTACCTGTCTTTTGTGCTCCAGAAGAAGGACTTGATCGCCGTCACGTACAGCTTGAGTAGACTGTCGGAGATATTAGCGCCCATCAAGACGGTGCGTTTAACGAGGAACAGGGATCAGGATGCGAACATGATGAAGGAGTTGGTAAAGCAAGGGGACGTAGCAGTGTGCCCGGAGGGGACCACGTGCAGAGAGCCGTATTTATTGAGATTCAGTCCTCTGTTCTCAGAAATCTGCGACGAAATAACACCCGTTGCTATTGATAGTCACGTCAGCATGTTCCACGGTACAACCGCAGGAGGATTTAAGTGGCTAGACCCGGTTTTCTTTCTCATGAACCCGTCCCCAGTTTACTCTCTTAAGTTTTTGCAACAGGTCTCTCCTGCATCCTTTACCTCTGGCGGTGACGAGGATCCGAGATTCCAGGTCGCTAATCACGTGCAGTCTCAGATTGGGGAGGCTCTGGGTTTTGAGTGCACCAAACTCACCAGAAAAGACAAGTACTTGTTGTTGGCCGGTAATGAAGGCCTCGTTTCTAACCCAACCAGGCGGTAAATGGCTGGTACTCGTGGGGACAGGGAATTAATGATAAAACATGGGTTTTATTAAAAGGACGCAAAATAAAAGTTGCAAAACAGATTATAGTACACGTAGAAGAAAGACCCTTCCTCTGGTAATCACAGTTATCTGTCATCGTATTTTGTCGGCAAACTGCTCCGAGGGCAGGTCTCTTTCTTTTTTGGTCTCCTACCATTTTCCTCTTGTGCGGCAGCATGGAGCATGATTGGTTCTATTCCATTCCTTCTTGGGGTATTTTTTGCCCTTATCTTACAATTAATGTACGTAGCTATCCACCGTGCAAAACACCCTTTACTTCTTGTACGTGCTTTTTTCTTGTCAAGCACAGTACAGATACAAAACAGGAGCCCCGCTGTGCCGCTCATCTCTTACATTACCTCTTTTCCTTTTTTTCCCTCTCTAATCAGGCTTAATTCAAGAATGCCGCAAAATAGGAGTTGTTTTTTTTTCTCATGTAGGATGAATTCATAATTTTTAAACAATACATGCACATGGATTTCCCTGCAATTAAAAAAAAAAGCAGTGAAAGGCTTATAAGTTGGGGTTATGTAAAAATTTGATGGTCTAATATAGTCCAGTTCAACTTAAATAAACCCGGTTTAGAACAATTGGCACGAAGTAAAACTGGACTTGTTGAGCTCGATTGGATTGGGGACTGACCTCTTAGACCAATTGGTCCAGTCTAGTGTGGCCCGAGTTTTTTATTTTTTAATTTTTAAATATTATTTATATAATTTAAATTTGTTTTAATTCTTTTATATGAGTTTTTTGTCAATTTAGATAATAAAGACTTATCTATGAACTTCCTAAGTGATGAGCATTTGTATATATTTTCTTCAATATATGATCTATATTGATAAGGATTAATAAATGAAACATGATATTAGTGGGAAATTAAAAGGGAGTGATCAAATTTGATGAAGTCTTAATCAAAACACGTGTAAAATTTTATATGGTAAGTTGCAATCTTATCTCTAATTTAAAAAAATTAAAAATTAAAAAGATGATATGGATTGCTTGGACCAAGTCCAATCCAATCCAATCTCATATTGGTATTGGACCAGGCTAGACCGTGTGTTGGTATTGGATTAGACTAGATCTTGAGCTGTCTCTTTTATCTCGAGATCCTTATTAGATCAGATTTCGAGTTGGTAGCAAATTCAGTCCAATCTCATCCATACACACCCATGTTATAAAAACCACGCGCCATGCTTGTATATATCTGAAGCAACAGCCTGCTGTTTTCTAAACTAGTTGTGTGTATAAAATCACAGGAGAGGGTCAAGAGAGTAGTTTGATACTAATTATTCTAGTCAGGGGATGAGCTAGGTTGAAAATAGAAGCGTCATTAGCTTGGAAATCGTCATTAGCTATGGTACCTATTTACTAATACACTGTTATATCGCGTGTTATTAGATCAAATTAATTCAATTAATTAAACTAAAGTGAAAACTGAAATTCTAAGCTAGACTTTCTCAATGGACACGTGGATCGCGTCATATATATATTTAAATGATTTAATTGAATGTGAATATGAATCCAATATTCATAATTCAACGACATTTAATTAAAATATCTAAAAATATTGCAGTCATGCAATTATGTAACGAGAGAAAAGAACAAGAGTTCAAAAGGAAAAAGAAGCAGGGGAACAAATTGCACGACCGCACGATTTTAAAGAGTCCATGTACGAACTGTAGAGGGAGGAGGGAATACCGCTGCCGGAAGTTCAAACCGACCTTGGACAAGCCTTAGGATACGGACAAAAACTTTGTTTAATCTACGTAACCAATAGAAGAATTTTCAGATTTTTATTTTCCTTTGACTGTATCTTTTTAAGTTACTTTATGACTCGTCTCTGTTTGGTCCGCGGGTGACGTGTAAAACGGCTCTTTTAAACCAAAGTAGTTCCATGGGTTCTTTTGTTTTTTGGACAGAAAGTTCCAATGGTTCAGACAGGCTGCATCCCGATCATGAACAATTAAATGACGCTCCCTCACCCCATAAATTAATTTCAAGAGCTTTGGTATACCCAAAAAAAAAATCAAAATTCAAGAGCTTTGTAACTAAATTTCGTAAACTCAAAAAGAAAAAGGGCTAAAAATAATAAATAATTTTTAAAAAAATTATACTCTTTTATCAAACCCATCTTTAGTCGATTCTGTCGACACGGTGAGATAATGGTTAGGCTCTATTTTATCAAATACTCTAACATAGAGTGTAATAGGGGTGTACTTAATAAATGGCTCATAAATATTTTTTTGGCCAAAATGGCTAATAATATTGAGTCGTAATTTGCAAAGAGCTTTACATTTAAGAACAAGAGGATGGATGGCAAAAAAAAAAAAAAAAGACAGAAAGAAAAATGTCTTATATTTAGGATTGAAAAGAATGTGGTGTGATTTTTGTCTTGTTTTGTTAACATATACGCGTGTGTATATATATAGATGTGTGTGTGTGTGTAAAGCTAATTTAAGCACTTATCGGCAAACTGATGACAATATGATCCTATGTAGCTGCAACCCGGTAAAAGAAGAGAATTCTTAGAATGTACCTCTTTCGTTCCTTTTCTTTTTAATTACAAGATAAAACTAATCGATGATGAAGACTATGTAATTTTTCCAGAAATATCCTTCTTTAAATACTGTACTTTCTCGCATTCTCTCTTTATTAATTAATTAAAATGACTACTTTTCACTGACTTTTTTCAGGAAAGAAAAAAGTATTAATGATTGTCTAAATTTTGGAAATTGTCTTATAAATAAGAATAAGAGCACCAAAAACTCGTAAGCATTTTTTTATAAAAGAAGGAAAGAAATATAATTAATATGAAAAAGATTTTTTTAAATAAAGAAGAATAAAGAGTATACATTGAAAAAAGGAAAAAAAAAAAACGCAGGGATGTGTTGGCATTTGATAGTTCAGATAAGTTATTAACTCGTTGCTGGAGATTTCGTGGACGTGCCGGCGTCATTAGAGATCTTACCTACCTGTTTGAAAAATAGACTTTAGTAAAAATGAGTACATGAATCGTGGAGTTGGAATGAGTATTGCTTATTTTTTCCGTAAAAGAATGTGTTGGGTTCAAAATACAAGTCACCCATAGAGTGTAATTAATATATATTTGGTAGTTTTGTTCTTACAATTAATATTTAAACGTACGGTAATTCCTTATATTTTTCTATCTCAAATACTATTTCATGTAACATGGGTAAAATTGTGAACAGCTTTGAAGTTAACTACCCTTTCTTAGTTATGGTGAATTAATTAAGATGACTATATTATGGACAATTAGGAAGTATTATTATTGTTACGAAGTATTTTGACTATTTGGAGGCCTTGAAATTAATTTGCGGGGGCCTCGAAAATTACAAATCTGGTGGAAACACGTATTTGAAAACAACAACCGACTGCATTTGAAAGCTCAGGAAAGTGAAAACAGGCACATGCAGGGGGTTTATTCGAGGAGGGGTGGCGGCCAGCTGGAGCTTAATTCATCTGCTTTCACTGTACTTCCCAGTAAGGGACTTGCAAAAGAGTGCGCGCCCCTCTCATTTAAAAGCCCTCCCACTTGATGGATGCTTCATTTCTTGTAGTTATGCCACTGCCCTAAATTTCACGTTCAGTGGGACTACCTCGAGCGCTGTCTACTTTTCTGCTGGAGCACCACCAAGCCAGGATTTTATATTTTCCCATACAGCCAGCAGAAGCCACGGATCAACACGTATTCCCTCTTGCACTTCTCTATATCGTCTCTTTTATTTCTTTCTTGCTTTTTTTCTTTTTAAACATAAACATGCATGCTGGGAATTCTCCAATATTTTATTTTCCATGTGCACCTCTATTTAATGATTTCCCCTCCAACTCCCAAGAAAGATTGTATCCTCATATAGTAACATTTAATTAGGGCTAAATTTCTGGGGAAAACATTTAATTAGGAGCAGAGGGAGTGCCATCTATTCATTGACATACGTAACAGGAACAAACTGATATCTTTGAACTGACGCCTCAGTATTTAATTATGCTTATCTCCCGTCAAACTTCGGTACGCTTCATCTATTTCCACCTGTTACATTCACAATAATTCATCAACCCTCTCTCTCCAACTAACTAATACAAGAGTGAGAAACACAACATGACATTTATATATATATATATTTACCTGGTAATACTTAAGCAAATTATTTCTTCTCTTTTTCATTGTTGCTGTCACCAAGTCTCTTTCCACGTCAAATGGACGCGGCTCTAATATTACTCCTTTGATATGTTCAAATCCTTTCAGCTAGTTCCCCACAGACACAAACGTCGAAAAGAAAATGAGAAGGAAACACATTGCCACGCCAGTCTTAAAATGACAGAACTAGTAGTCCATTACTGGTTATGTTACTACTCTCAATGTCAGATGCTGTGGTTACCTTGTTTCTCTCAGCAATAGATTTGAGCTCGGACAGCACGTATTTCTTCAACTGGTCAAGGGAACAGAGTTCAGAAAAAGAAGCCATGTGACCTTTTGAATATGCCCACTTTTTTGTAATTTCTTCATTTGGAACCACTACCGCCACCAAAGCTGACTTGAAGCTATTTCCATAAACCCAGATCTGAATGGAAAAAAGAGGGGGAAATTGATCATAAACTTGTTAGCAGTCCCGGGGCTGAAATCCCTTTCTCAAACAGGAAACATGAAGACATGCTTACATCTTCAACAATGGGAGTGATTCCATAAACATTTTCCAGATACTCAAGTGCAATATACTCTCCTTGAGAGAGTTTTATTAGATTCTTCTTCCTGTCAATAACCTTGATGACACCGTTAGGAAGCATTTCTCCTATGTCCCCTGCAGATATACCAGAGGCGGACAAATCAAACTGCGTGCACATCAATCATAATTCAGTCTGAGGCAAGACATGAATGGCTACCTGTGTGAAACCACCCATCTTTAGAGGCTTCTCTAGTCAACTCGGGATTTTTGTGGTAGCCTGCAAAAACAGATTTGCCTCTCACACATATTTCGCCACATGAAGGACTTCCAAGAGGACTATAGCCCATCTCTGGAACTTCCTCCAACCTCAATTCGCTGTACACATTCACGACACCAGCTGTGCCCATCATGCACATTTCATCAATATAGCAAAGAGTAGCTGATCCACACGTTTCAGTTAATCCTGGATTGACCACCATCAGGGTTACATTGAGTTGCAAAATTATAATGTGCCCTAACAAATCCACGTGTTAATGTACTCTAAATGCTTGATAATTCATATCAGTAAATTGGCCGTGGCTGTTTCACACAAAAGAGAACAAAGGAACAGAAAGTAGAGTCATTTACCATAGCCTTGACATACGAAGGCACAAGAAGTAACACGCAAGAATTCTTCCACCTCAGAGCTCAAGGGTGCACCTCCTGATAATATTAGTCGAATACGCCCACCTAGACGAGCATTGACCTAACCAGGAATTGAGGTTCGTAAGGGGTAAAGGACTAGTACTTTAGAGTTCTAACCCAGATGGTTAAAGCATCAATTATGCAGATTCGACAAAGACAAGCAATGTGGCAAGAGGGTAGATATATAACCTTCCTGAAGGCTAATAGATCTGCTAAAGGTGATGCATTTTTCTGCTTGTACCCTTTGTTCATCCAATAAAGTTTGCTGTATGGCATACAAGTAAATTAGGAGAGTTATATCCGCCTACAAACTATGCGTCGAACAAGTGAGCAAGATTCTATGACTCTAACGTCAACTTACTATCTGTAAAGCAAGTCAAAAACTCTTCTCCTCACTGGATTCAGTTCTTCAACTGCTTTCTTGATACCTGAAACACTGATGGGCTTGGCTAAGTTTTATTGAACTGAAACAAAAAGAAGCAACAGATTTTCTCATGATGCGTAATCTTGCCTTCGTGGACTTTTTCAAAAACTCGTGGGACCCCAGCAAAGAGCGTGGGCTTCAACTCCATTAAATCATCCCTCAATGCCTTCAGATCCTGCACTCAAGTGATTCAAGAAATTCGCAAAGATTTTTCAAAGGGATTGGCACTAAATTGTCAAATTCTGAAGCAGATGGGAAACTATGTAGTGTTATAGTGTAGGAAGATTATGAGTTTCTTAGTACAGATGAATCTTGACGAAGGAACTCTACGGTCTTCAAGGAGAGTTTACCACACACATATATCATGATCAACAATCATACCGCAATCGCTGCCAAGAGTCATGGGAGCATAGTCCTGGCACAGTGGCCCGTAACATAAGATTGCTAAAACGTCAAACCATCGCTCTTATTTATTTACCACACTATGCACACACAAACACACTTTCATTTGTGTCATGAAAAGAGGCTTATTACTCTCTCTCGAACAGCAATCACGAGAAATTGTTGCTATCTACATTTTAGCATCTATCTTTCCCGTATCTTACTCTTGTTAATGATATAACCAGGTAACTCCAAACTTCCAGTACCCAAAAAATTCTGAGGTGCACGTACCCCATGGTAGTAGCCAACAGAAGCACCCTTATGGAAAAAGTATTCCTCAATTGTTCGATCAAGGGAATGAGCCAAGGGGAGGAATGATAAATACACATCTTCCTCAGTCATCTATACATAGTGAAATAAATCCGTGAGAAAAAATAGAGGGGAAGGGGTAAGAATCTAATGCAAATAAATTTAACTGCGTAAGATTAATTGATAGAGGTCTTCTCTAAATTTATACTAGTAGATGATTACATTTTCACCCATAACCTACTTGAAAGTGTTATTGCCATACCAAACAAATCACAACGAAAACATCGCAAGTCACCATGGTATTATTTTGAGCACTAAGAAAGAGAGAATAGAAATTATGGCATACTATTTTGCTGGTGGCTCAAGCATTAAGAATACCTTTTCTTCAAATTGTTCCAAGAAAAGATCCATTCCTCTTACAAAAGACGTTATGTTTTCATGTGTTAGAACAACACCCTTAGGGTCTCCACTGGTCCCACTTGTGTACATTATTGTGCAGATGCTTTGAGCTTGAGGTTCTGAAATGCTCGATGGGTTTTCCTTTCCCTGTACGATGCAAAGTTTAGATAAGCCATTGAAGCATGAGAAATTTACATCGATTAAGTAGAACCGTTATAAGATCAAATTACTGCACCATAAGTGGGATCATAACTTAGTTACCGAAATAGTCAATGACATTATGACAAGATATAAAGCTGACCCACAGTTATAGTGCAGATAACAGTATCTGTTTATATGACATGAAGATGTCATGTTACAGAAGTTCATTCCATATCGAGTGCATGAATGATGTTATATGATGTCAAATTCCTTGCAGACCAACCATGTCCAAGAACTCGGCCCATGAATATGGCTTAATTTCAATGGACGCTGCCTTGTCTTTCTCTTCATTTGTCAATGAAGTGAAGCACACCATGGCTGCAATTCCACAAGCACATATTTTAGACGCCTCCTGTTAGCTATGTGGCGGAGAAATGCTGGAAGTAGCTACTTTTACCTTTCAGTTGCTGAGTCGATTTGCAGTCAGGGTTCAAAAGCTACAGGTAAGTGTAGTTATACAGTCAGAACCCCGTTGCCTGTCAAATATGAATTCGTTTGGAAAAGAAAGTTTTTCTTCATAAGAAAGTGATTCTTACTTCTTTAAGCTTCTTATCTTGGACAAAAACAAAATCTACTTCTGCATGATCTATAATAAAGTTTACAGCGCCAGAACCTGCATCGATGTTTAGTTTGTTTCCAATCAATAAATATATCAAAATTGATCATATATGTATATATAAATATATATAAGCACCAGGAGCCTTTTTCAAGATTTAAACATGAATAGAGTCATGCTAGGATCTTTTGGATGGCTACTAATAGCAGAAAAACAATGAAGCAGCAGCTTACCAAGTGTGTCGTAGAGAGGCACACAAACCAAACTGTGGGCGCAACAAGCCTATATGGGCGTAAAATACTCATATAGCATCATGAAAAGAAAAAACATTGACAACTTTGAAAGGACAACGCTTATTAGGGAAGTGCCAAACCTCCATTGCCACAACCCATTGTGGGCAATTAGATCCGTAAACTCCAACTCGAGAGCCCTATCACAGAATTTCCACGAGATACATGGAGAAAATATCTGTGTGAATTCTAACGTACAATATGTGAAACTGACGAGAGAAGCCTCTTGAAAGTACTTACGGGTTCAGCCCCTGATGCTCGCAAAGCAGAGCCAATATGAAGAACTTCATCGTAAACTTCCTTGTATGTCTTCCAGACGTATGGTCCTATCTATTAGACAAGAAGTCAAAATTCAGTGATCACATCTTCTTGACATCGACAATTAAAGAGGAAAAAAACTTGGCTACGCAGATACCTTTCCATCAACAAATTTTCGAAATCCCAGCATCCGGTTTTGAGGATACTTTCTGACTGACACACTACAATCATCCAGGAAGGCGTGGGACTTCTGTCAGTCACCAAATGTCTTAACACAGAAAAACAGAGCAGGAGCCGTTGCCCAAGTGGCCTATTTTAAAGTCATTTACCATACACATGGGCCATCATGTGACAAGGGAAAATGAAGGATTTTGAGGTACTGAAGTTACCTGAAAATATCCCAAGCAGTGCATAGTTCTGGATCCATTGGAGGAAAGCCATTTTTTGATAGGAGATTACGGTATGCTGGTCCAAAGGATGGCTTGCCATTCTCGCCTTCACCTCCTTCCTCAACCTTAGCTGCAAAAGTTTCATCTTCCTTGTTTGCGAATCCGAACAAGATAAACGCACAGTCGTGGATGAATTACCGTTTACAAAGGTGCTTTATAGCATGCTGGCTCACAGATCCTTGAATTATAAGCCAAGTTGGATTCTAGTTGTAGAGTTTAAAAAGAATAAACTTGAGAGAAAATATCGAGAGTTAATCTGATAAAGTACAAATAGTAGTATCTCAAACATGGAAATAGCAAAATAGAAGCATGGCTGACCCAAGGGTCTCACTGTCAACGTTATGTGCCTTCTAGTATTTCCTAGTACTGCTTCGGGCCCTATATATAAAAACTAGTTGATTAGTTTGAGTAAATTAAAAAAATAAATTAAGTTAGTTATTTATTATAAATAAGTATTGCCTTTTCTAAAATATCCTTGATAATCAAGTTTATTGGCTGGAACTATCATTATGAGAAGGATTGTTTTGAAAAAAAAAAGAATAAATATGAGAGACAAAGTGAATTGAGATCTTATATTTAGGACCAAAATAAAAATCAAACAAGGTCTTATATTAAGAACTTGAAGAAGTACTCCTCCGGTCCTAAATGTAAGACCCTTATACTAGTGTGTATAAGGGTCTTACATTTAGGAGCAGAGGAGTATTAAATAACACGCAAGTATAGGAAACATGGTTCTGAGCCACCGGATCAAAAAAGAAACAAGCAGCAACGGCAGTTTTGTTCAAAGAATGCAATTTGCGACCACAATAATACTTGAATACACACACACAAAGGTTGAAAGCCCACTGAAAAATCCAAGAGAGCGAAGCATAGCAACCAAATAGGAAGAGTGGTGAGGAAATAAGTAGAGAGCAACTACAACTATAAAGCAACGAAATTCTCTAACTTGGTAGTCCACAAGAGAAGCATGTTGGACAAATTAAAAGGGTGAGGCATCAGAATCCCAGCCGGTAGGCATATAGAATATGACAGTGAATGGATCAGAACTAATTCTGTAGTATTATTACAATGAACGCAGGAATCGCAGGGTGTTTAGTATTTATAATACAAGTGGCATGTAAGCCAACTTGCCTCAGCTCGCCGGCTTGTCGTTTTCACTATACTACCTTCAGTCCTAAATATAAAAGTTAGTTGACTAATTTGAAGAGATTAAAAAAATAAATTAAATTAGTTATTTACAATAAATAAATGTTATCTTTCCTAAAATATTATTACTAATCAAATGTATTGGTTAGAACTACCATTATTAGAAGGACTATCTTAGAAAAAAATGTACAAACATGAGAGACAAAATAGATTGTAGTCTTATATTTAAGATCAAAATAAAAGTCAAACAAGATTTTATATTAAGAATCAGATGAGTTTGACTTTTAGTGGTTCACTTAAATTATTTAGTGGTTACGATAAAGTTAAAACGATATTACATTCAATTTGATGTCACTGATAAAAAAAAATGTTCTGGTAAAAAAAAAAGGCATACAAGTTATAGGACGAGAAGATTACACTTTAGACTCCAAATTCATCACACGAAATTGTCCAATTTACACAAAATGATTAAGATAATGCGCGAGAAAATTACAACTCAACCTCAGAAAATGTTAATCTTAACCAGTGAACCACACGTAGCCTCTCGCTTTTCATTTGAGTCAAAGGCCGAATGAGCTGGGCGCTATTGGGGCAATATTCAGGAGCGGGCCGAATCATGTGATAGGGCATCTTCTTGAGTGGAGGCGTATCAACTGCAGGCCCATGAAGATATATCATGGGCTTCAAGAAAGTAGGGGCCCGTTTGAGGTTGGGGGGAACAAATGGTAAGGATGGAAGGAGGAGGCGGAAAACAAATAAAGAAAGGAACAAGTTGGTTGATGTTATGGAACAAACGAATAAAAAGGTGATGAGGCATGTGAGCTTGCTTTGTGGTTGGTGTTGGTATAATAATAATAAGCAGCTTGCAACGAGTTGAAACGCATCTGGGAGAGGCATGGAGTGGTTGATAATAACCAGCACAAACCCCTCATTCAAAATCCAAATCCCCAACAGCACAGCTCCTCCCTCACGCCTCCTCCATATTACCATCAAATAAACTCTCGTGTGTGTATCTCACCTAAACTCCCCACCTTCGGGGTCCCATTATTCCTTACTTTATGGAGCTTGACTTCCAAGCACTTTTCCCTCTCCCTTCTTTATATCTCTATATATGGCAGCATGCTTTCAATAATTCGGCAAGTTTAGGATTGTGCATGCTGCCCGAAAGCTCGCTCAGCCTTGTCCTGCCCGTATTGCTCGCCACCCTGTAATAGTAATATACACATGTACAATAAAGTTTTTTTGTTATTTAATATTTCTTATGCAATACTCCATATGTTGATTTTATAATTATCGTGGGGATTTTTTTTTTATGATTGTATTAAAAGTTCAAATTGATTCTGTCAGTTTAATATTATGCAGAGATAATAAATTAATGTCTAAGCTTGGAGAGGGCGTTGAAAAGTAAATGCGCCAGGCTCACTCGGGGAGTCCACTCCGGATGCCAAGAAATCAACTTCAGGGCTTTGTATTTGATATTTTAAAACGGGGACACAGTTCGGCTCAATTTCATCCTTTGCTCCTTATACACTCCACCTTTCGTTTTCTTCAATGCTCTTCCTAACACAACCGCGAAAGGGATATTTGGCCTCTATAGCTATTCCTCCCCCCCCCCCAAAAAAAAGTTATTAGACGTACGTGACGCCATATGCCTGTTCCTTAATTTATTTATGCCAACAGATAATCGATTTCATTAATCTAATTTTTGTTCGCAGCTGAATGGCGGAATCCGTTGTTATTTTCTGTTTGTTATTCTTCTTCAAAAGCTAGGCCGTTCTGTAACACTTGATTAATTTATTGTGCGTATGCCCTCTATACCGTCAAACTTGGTGGACAACTTAATTATTTCTCTTTTGAAGAAAGCCGGCAAGACAGAGATCAGATCGACAGGGAAACACATGTTAAAGAATATTTCAATACGGGATGAGTTAACTTTCCGTGTTCCCTGTTTGATTGAATTAAAAGGCCACGTAGAGAGCCATATAAAGGGCTCCTCCATATGATCGTGATCATGCGGCGCACAATATAACCTTTGTCGAATTACATAAACTCCCTGTGAGGGCGAGGAGGTGCAGTGTCTTTGTTCTCCTCACTTCAATTTAGAAAGGATGGCAACTGGAAGAGCCTGAACATGGGGCACATTTGTAGAAGCAGTGCGTGGTTGTTCGATTAGGTGACAATGTGAGGTCGCGGGCATGGCTCGCTGTCCTCCTCATGCTCATCCGAAATTTATTGGACGGCAAAAGTGCAGAATATATATGACTCTAATTGCGTGTGTGATTAATTTATGCTAATTTGTGGGCGTAGTTACGGAGGAGAGAGCAGGTGTGTGTGTGGGAGGGGGGCCACCAACAGGGAGCATATTATAATAAGGAGGAAGACGAAAAGGGCGCTTTTGTCCGCATCGTTGCAGAATACTGAATATTATATGTTTCTTGGGGGGCATCCTTATCGCCAGGCGCCGATATCAATATAGTAGCGGAGCGGGGGGGAGTTCTATAGGTGAACAATGCAGGGCATATTCGCTCTGCAGATGAATTGCTTTCGTACGCATTATGTCCCTTAGTTTATCGAGTAAATGAGAAGAGGGGGCGGTGGGGTCCCAACACTGATTAAAAAGTAAGCATCCTCCATTATTGCTTCGGCTTTCAAACCCCCTCCCCCCCCCCCCACATGCCTCCCCCTTCTGATTTTCGCTTTTGTTATCTGGCAGTCTTGCGGGCGAGAATTATTATGTGATGAGATGAAGCCGGAGGAGGAGTTGAATTAATGGTCGTATAATAGTAGCAGAGTGCGTATGAATGGACTATGGAAATAGTGAGAGCAAGTGGGAGAGAGGTGCATGAAAAAGGAATAAACAATGAATGATGTGAAATGAATCATGGATGGGACTGGTGATTAATTAAATTAACCAATTATGAGGGGGGAGAGAGAGAGGGAGAGCAGGGGCCAATGAAAGGAGGACAGGAAGGCAGAAGTTGAGAAAAAGGGCAAAGGTCGGTTAAGGGGAAATGATTATATAGTGAGAGCGGCATCCTTGGGTGAGGAATGCGATGCGTGTCTGACGCCGCCCCTCTCCCATATGGGCCCTGTTCAGTGTTCACCCCCAAAACTAATGAACCCTTCTTCTTTCCTCGGTTAACCATCTGCTGCCCCCGGTCCTCTTGCTCTTATTCCCGGCCATGAATAATATCCGAATAGTAATTGGTGATGGGAGAGGAATGCAGTGTGAGATGGATACAGGTGTCAGAATGGAGTGCGGTAAGAAAGATGCATGATTGACCTATCATTATTGGGAGCAAGTGGTTGGTCCAATCACATCGCTCACTCATGTAATTTTAGGAATCAAGGCTTCTCACTACGTGAGCCGTGAGCATACAAAATCCTGTCCCCTCCTCCTGTTGCATGTTTTACTGCCAAACCTCGTCCAGCATTTGGTCCCAGTTAAAAATATTTTACAAAAGGGGGAAAAAAACCAATCCCAACCAAACCAAACCGAGAGGACAGGCCCTGTCTAAATTATATTGATGCTTCGCGGCAGACGCTACAAGACTGGAATAATAGTGTTCAAGTGAAAGCAGACAAACCGCCCCCAAATCACAAAGACAATTAGTTAGTTAATAACATCAATAATAAGATTAAAAGAAACGCATTGATCCTGCCACGCCCAACAGTGCCCGCGCGATTACTGCTAAATGTCTGCCTGATTAATGAGCAGAATCCTTCTTTATCCGTGGAATGAGGCTAATGAATCTGGTGCGTTCATATAATTTAGTTGCGTGCAGCGAGCAGTGGGCGGAGGAAATGGAGAACAGAGAACGTGTCTCAAGTCTCAGCTCAACAAAAAGCGCCTGAGAGAAAAAGGGCAGCCGACAACGTCTTCTGCAGATATCTGAAAGGCCAGATTCCTAGTATTCCAGTTTGCCAACATTTACTCAGCATCATCCGCTTCCCACTTCTGACCTTTCCCGTATAAATATATTAATCAATACTCATTTACATTTTTCCCCCTAAAATATAAATATCTTTTTATTAGAAGCAATCCTATCGGGTACTAAATATAGGTATCTCTTTCTGTAGAGATTCAAACCTCAGTTTATTATGTTATGAGGAATTAATCTATTTTGCTTGACTTAATTCTTATTGATTAATATTCATTTACATATTAAAAAGAGAAAGGCATATAAAATGAAACATTATTTGAAAATAGAAAAATGAAAAGCAATGAAACATGGTCAAAGTTACCAGAAGAGAAGTCAAAATAAAAGAGTGGAGGAGGACAGAATAGGGTTCATTTTTTGGAGGGTTGGGCGGTAATAAGGAGCGAACGGCGACAAAATGGCAAGAACAGCTAGGCTCCGTCCTTTCTTGCACCACATGTAAGTCTAGCCTCCTCCCACCGTCACATCTACACTTGCGTTGTGGTTTAGTCCTTCTCTTCTCTCTCTTTTTGGAACTCCCCTCTCCTGTGCACGGTTCTTGGATTATTAAACTTTTCCCTTTTTCTCTCAACAAAAAATTACTCATAGTACTCCAATTAAATCGAGACTCACATTTTTCAGTTCTCCTTTCTGTAGATCGTGCAGAGAAGCGTATGCCAACGTGTCTCACTTCCGACCTGACTTTGAGATTAATTGCTCCCACCAAGTCAATCCCTTTTCATCTCATTTTTACCCGAGTTGGATATTTATTAAAAAAAAAAGTCCACGCCCCCTTCATTAAACATCCTTAACAAAAATCAATTCCTTAATTATTATATTATTACTAAAGTGACCCAGCACCCCCTTCTCTGTCTATCATATTATTAATCGCCTCCGCCTCTCTCTCTTCCCCCCCATCTTCCTCCTCCCCTCCCTTATATATACACGCACGCACACAATGCCACCTTCTCCAACCGCAGCTATCCCTCTGTACATGTTCTTTATATCCGTCTCTATCCTTTCGCATCCCTTGCTCCTCCTCAGCTATGGTCGTTCCCTCTTCAAATTCCATGAGAAGCAAGAAAACAAATGCCGTGGGAATCCCGACTGTGGACCTTTCCGTGGAAAGGTCAGAGTTATCCGAATTGGTGATAAAGGCCTGCGAGCAATATGGCTTCTTCAAGGCGGTGAACCACGGCGTACCGGAGGAGGTCATTTCCAGATTGGAAAACGAAGGAATTAAATTCTTTTCCAAATCCATCTCAGAGAAGCGACAGGCTGGTCCGGCCACACCGTTTGGTTATGGTTGCAGAAACATAGGCCCCAATGGCGACATGGGTGACCTCGAGTATCTCCTTCTGCATACAAATCCTCTCTCCATCTCCGACAGATCCCAAACCATCTCCAACAACCCTACCGACTTCAGGTGACCGCTTACTGCAACTACTTTAATTATTCTTTTATCTTTCTCCCATATTTATATGTACTTCTTCATTAGTTACATATTACAGTCTTCAAACATATTAAAAAGTCGCGTCTTATAGAATTAGTATAACAGGCACAGACACAGGGTTGACCAAAAATTAATCTATACTATATGGATTTGACTTGGATTTATATATAGCAAAACCAAGAGGAAGAGGGGGAACAAGAGCCTGGTGTGTGTTTCTTATATGCCAAGCAGGATGGCGGGTCTGTGCTGACTCTCTGCTGAGTAGGACTTAAAATTTTCTTTCTTTAACCTACGCTGACGTTTGGACGATCATGAATCATTGTGAATCTTAATTCGTTCATTGTTTTTTACTGACAGCTGGCCGATGAACGTACAGTATAGTTTAAGCTGATTTTGCCCGCCAACTGATGTTTGTTATGTGTCCTAGACAAGACATGTTTTATTTTTGCTGGTCTCTCAAGCGCAGAAAGAAAAAGTCAGGATATTAAGCTTCACGCTTAATTTAGTAAATACATGATTAGATGATGGTGTGGACTTTCTATTTTTGAGTAGATGTGTGGTGTATGTATTCTTGTTTTCATGTGGCTGCTTCGTCTGTCTGAAAGCGACTCGCACGCACTGTGTTATATGCGCGTCGGGACCGATTAGTCGGCCATCCCACTCTGGTTCCCGACTTTCCACGGGGTCCTCCGTTCTTGACGCGTCTAGGTTTTTAACTTAACATCGTCATGATTTTCTCACCCCTCCTTGTAATTATTTGATTGTCTCCCTCTGTCTACCGCTTGATTCCTTGTAGCGTATGTGAGTAAGCTAAGCTTGCTTACGGCTGAATTTTCTATTAATTCAGAACTGAACAGGTTTGCGGCAACACGTGCACTACTCCCACATGCACATGTTTCATTTCATATTTGTTCGCAAAAATAAAATATATATGATTCAAACTAAACTGCACGCACATGCATGTTTTTTGTTTTTTGTTTTCCTTGTTTATTTTAATCAACATATATACTGACACGGCTTTTGTTCTGCGCTGCTATTGAGTAGTGTATATATTTTTGAGACACCATACGTCATAGCAAATCAAATAAAACTAATTTTACAGGAAGAAATGAAATGACTCTGCCGGATGAGCTTCTAATCAAACTATAGCCAGCCAGATGCGGTAAGTTGCATGGAATACTGGCGATGTGAAAATGAAAGTAGGTAGGCCCCCGCCAGACAACAAAATGTAGACTGTGCACAACTTACTGGTGCCAGGGGGATCGAGTGGCATCCACCGCGCGCGTCAAGTATTCGTCTACTAATTTTCTGGAAGAAAATTATGATCATAACAGTGGGCCTTTCCCTTGTAAATCATCATGTGGAATTGGTTAGTATCTGGCTGTTCAGCTAACCACCGATGATTACTTCGTGGAATGTATACGTGAAAACTCCACGAGCATCTAAATCTTTTGAATGAGTTATGAGCTAGCCACCAACAGTCCAGAATTCATTAAATAGGACACAAGTACAACTTGGCAAACACTGGGGTATGCTTGGAATGTACATATATATATGTATGTATGTATGTATGTATGTATCGATTTCTACTTTGGGCAAAACGCCAAGTGAGCACATAATCATGCTGCTCAAGGAAAATACTAGATTCATAACCAAAAGTCAGAAAGACATCAATAACTGGAGGATTATTAAATTGAGAAGTTGTATATAGAAAAATGCTCGCTTGATATTCTGAAGGATGAGAAATGAGATGAGAATATAGAGAGCGTGTGCAGAGTGTAGAGAGTGGGAACAAAAAATGGGCAGAAGGAGTGATCGATGTTTTTGTTGTTTTGTGGATGCAGTTGCGCGGTGAATGATTACATAGAGGCAGTGAGGGAAGTGGCGTGTGAGGTGGTGGATCTGGTGGCGGAGGGGCTGCGGGTCCCAGACAAGTACGCCGTGAGCAAGCTGATCAGGAACGTCCAGAGCGACTCGGTGCTGAGGATCAATCACTACCCTCCAACCATGAGCAGCTTCAAGCGGGACCCAGCCATGGGTTTCGGGGAGCATTCAGACCCTCAGATACTGACGATCCTGCGGTCTAACGAGGTCGGGGGACTCCAGATCTGCACCCGGGACGGGCTCTGGATCCCAGTGGCCCCAGACCCCCACGAGTTCTTCGTCATGGTGGGCGATGCCCTCCAGGTTGGTGTTGCCATACCCACACTCTGAACGAAATGAATTAATTCTCGGAGCGCATCATGATCATGCTGACTATGATTATAATTAACGTATTATTTTTTATTTTATTTTATTTTATTTTTTTAAAAAAGCAGGTGATGACGAATGGGAGACTGAGGAGCGTGAGGCACAGAGTAATGAGAAACAACATGAGGAAGGGAAGAATGTCGATGATGTACTTCGCGGCACCGCCGCTGAGCTCGTGGATAATGCCGCTGCCGAAGATGGTGTCGGCGGAAAAGCCAAGTGAGTACAGGCCCTTCACCTGGGCTCACTACAAGCAAGCCGCCTATTCCCTCCGCCTCGGCCACTCTCGCCTTGATCTCTTCCGCGCCCACCACCCCCTCCTTCTATAGCCATTTTCCTTTTCTTCGTTCCTTCATTTTAGTGTTCAAATGCACATAGATAGCTCTGTCCCTTGTAATTGTAGGGTATATATTTTTTGTAATTAATATTATAATATTTCCCTTTGAAAAAAGGCCCACATCTTCATTACTCTGATTTCTCTGAATTCAATTTCTCCCACGCACATTCTTCACAGCTCAGTAGTTTCATCGTGAAATTACAGTCATTCGAATTTCGACTCCTTGAACCGAAATATTCACAAAATTAAAGTTATTGGATAATTATATTGGCCTCCAGCTCTGCACAGAGCAGGCTGATCGATACATGGGAACATATCGAAACTCAACCACATGGTCAAACCCGGTTTCATCTTCGAGAAGCCTTCTTTTGGCATCAATTGCACGGCTCCAATATTAATATTAATTCCGTTTCAAATCAGTCACTGTGAGTCCGCAGCAATTCTTGAAGCCTTTGATTAGGTATATACCTGCGAAAATTGCATCTTACCCACATCTCGCCCTGTAGGGCTCGTAACTTTGTGACAAGGTTTCTGTGTCATTGCCATTTGACCAGTTTTTTGTTGAAGAGTTTAATAATATATGGCACTGATGAAGACACCCCCCCCCCCAAATTTAAAAGAAGAAAAGCAGAGACACATGTCACGTGCGCAACTAAATGCCATCGAGGCCAACGAAAGGCCTCCTTACTAGAAAGTGAAGGCTTGTTGTTGGGCATCAGCCTTACCAACAAAGACAACAAATCTGGTCGCAGCAGTTCCATCAACCAACTAAGGTGCATGCATATTCCTCTTCCTGAGCAGGTTTAACTACACGACGACGTTGATTAAAACATTCCCCAAATAGCATTCTTGGTGAAGAGTAACCATCTTCGCTATATCTGTAATTATGTCATCTTTCACTAGCAGTGGATGTCTAGATATAGAAGAAAAAAGAAGCTTTGAACCTAAAAAGTCCGCAAAAAATGGTCCATTGAACGCCACTTTGCTAATAAATACATAATTCCAAAGTTGGTTAAACTGCATTTTCGTCGTCATCATCATGCGCAGAGGAGATGGATGAAATCTATGCCAAATTCTCTCAAAGACTCCAACGAGGTCAAACAAGAAGATAACCCACAAGTAACCGTCAACCCATATATTAATATATCCTCTTCATCACAAGGTTGTCCAACGCTCTTTGACTTGCCGAGATTGTAGTGACGCGGCTTAGATGGCCAACTAGGATCTTTTAAAAACTTGCAAGCCAAGATTAATTTGCATGCACTAGTCTCAACTTTCGAGCTCATGTTACATGTTTTGACACTCAAACATGCAAACTGAATGAAGCAACTACTTTTCATGCCGTATAATTCAGTCACGCGATTCTATTTCAGCAAGTTATATCAGAAATGGAAAAACAGTAGAACACAAGAAAGTCGAAGAGGGAATTGTTGTGCAAGCAACTCAGAATTGTCCCGCCAGGAGAAGAAATGTGAGGTTTTGTAGGTTAGGATGCTAGAAATATAAAGGGAGGGCGTAGGTCAGAGAGGGACATATCTGATAAACTCTATCTTGCTTGTCTAGCAAAATCTTGAGAGCACATGCGCAGACACTCCCATCATGGCTTCCATCTTGCTGTTACTGGAAGCCTTCATAACATGCCGTGAGGGCAATCATGAACTAATGGTGCCGATGAAGCAGAGGAGGGAAGAGGAAGCAAAAGGAGAGGCAGGAGGCATCATGAGAGCCAAGAAACGAGGGGAAGAATGGAGCAGCAGGGGCAACCTTGATTGCTTCTGGAGCTATGACCAGCAGACCCGAGCCTGGAAACTAGGAGAGCCTGGCATTTGGCCTTAGGAGAGTAACCCATTAAAGCATGAAATGATATTCTCTTCTCCGTATCTATTATTATGTTTTCATGTTTCATTACCTTGGAGTTTGGTGGTTTGATTAGTAGGCGTGATCAAGCAAGCCTACCCAAGTAGTCTCTGTTGTTCCATTCCAGTTGTCATCATATGGTAGGAAACTTGTGGGTAATAAATTTAAAAGGGGAAATAAAATGTTGTTGAACGATTAATGCTGATCTCAATTTGGGAATTGCGAGCTGTGAATGAAAGCTAAGCATGCACAGCGTAATTGCAGGGGCACAGAGTATAGTTCCAACAAAAAGGCTTAGCATCAGGCTCTCCCATCGACCGAGCTTCAACGTAGCTCCTCAATTCTCATGTACGTGCTCTGCTGCAAAATAGTATGATACTCCTCTGCTCATTATTACAGGATCTAATTGGGTATTTAATATTGATTCTATATGTAAAATTTATTTTAGTATTTCACGTATTTATAAATTTTTTTTCAAATTAATCCTATTGATAGAAGGCGGAGAAAATTGATAAAGATACTTAGAGTGTTTTTAAAAAAATATCATATTAACAAATTTAACTAGCATTCTTAATCTATTCAAATTAGTTAATTAGATCATATATTAAAAACGGTAAGAATAAATATACTAGTAGGGAAATATATCCGCCTTCTTTAAATATGGGCTATGACATTCTGTTTTTTTCCCCTCTTGAACCCTACCTTCTGGTTTAAACAAAAAATATTTACATAAAAACCAAATCATAATTTTAAAAATAATTTTATGATATATATATATAATAAATATGTGAGAAGAGTTTAAAAAGTATTTTTTAAATCATTTTTGCTTTTAGAAACTGCTCTTATCAAACATACAAACTAACTAGATATTTTAAGATTTTCAATCAAATCACCAACATTATTATCCTGCCAACCGAGACACAGGTCTTGACTCTGGCGTGCCTTGCCGGCAGCCCCCTGACTAAACCTACAGTCACCTTACCCAGAATCAAGCCCAAAAGCCCAATTACAAGCGGCAGATGGAGACCTTGTAAAAAGCAAGATATGTACCAATAGGGGTTGGGTCTAGCAGAAAGGGTAGTCTCTTACAACATAGTGAACTAAGATTCGAATCATCTCTCAGGAGGATGCCTATACTTTAGCAAAAATAAAAAAGATATGTGCGCTTATCTCAATTGTACCCTGTCGAATTGAAGCAAGACCTAGAACAGATTGAAATCGAGAGGTGTTTAAATTTCCAAGTCGAAAGTTCTGTGGGTAATGATAATTCAAAGCACGATTTCATTCAAATAACACGGGGACGGAAAATTAAAAAAAATCGTGAGTGTTGTACTAAGATTGATTTTACGACGTCAAAACACAGCGACGCGAGGTCAACTGAGTCAGTCTTCATGCACTACTGGACTGAAAGAAACGTTGAAATTAAACTGAGGGGCCATATGATACAAGGCAAAGTTGCTGGATCACGTAATTATATCCTCTTCTCTTCCACTTCCCAAACCAACGTTTGATTCGGGTTTTGTCTGGAATTAAACGCACAAGTCCAAACACAATACAACCCCACCACCATTTTTCAAACCCCACTCTGGCTACCATTACTCAGATATATTCAGCGCTGATTGGTGGGCCCCACTTACCAGCTATTATCAGATTAATCAAATATATTCAGCGTTTACTGAGCGCAGCTCTTAGCTAAGAGCCTATGATCATACATGCAAAAGAAAAGAAAAGAAAGGATGGTTGACTGAGTATGAAAGATGGCTAAAATACTGTTTAAACAAAATGGTTGCGAAGGCTGCGGCCCCAAGAGTGGCTTACTTCTAGATATTAAAGTCAACCATGGGTCGGATTAATCAATATCTCACCGGACAGCTGCTGTTGCAAGAACCAGGTGTTTTCATCCGTCCAAGACTCGGCAACTCCAAAACCACCGGTCGCCTCAAGCGCTTGCATCTCCGACGATTCCACTTGTCCTTCTTCCGTAAAACTGCAAAACAGGTTGGACCCGGAGAGAGGAGGAACTTGCGCATGAAGTAGTTCGGAGTGCGCCGATGGCAGCGCCGTGAGACAGTGGTCGCTATGAGCTTGGGCATTCACAGGGCCAGGTCCGGATGAGGATGAGGAGGCCCGGATCCTCTCCAGGAGGCGAGGCATCCATACGAAACGCAAGGCGTCTCTAAATTGTTTGCTATTCTCGTCGCATTTCAATCGTTTAGCCTGTCTCACCACTCTCGTCCTCCAATAGTTTTTTATCTCATTGTCTGTTCTGCCTGGCAAGTGCTGCGCGATTTTCGACCACCTTTGGAAAAAGGCATGAAAACAGAGGATCATTTATCTCAGTCAACAAACAAGTCATCGCTGATGCAAGTTAGGAACTTAATCGTACAACTGTAGAAGCAAAATATACCGATTGCCCCAGCGGAAATGGAGGTCGATAATCAAGAACTGTTCTTGGAGTGTGATATTGCCGCGTCGAACCTTTGGACTCAAGTAGTTTAACCATCTTAGTCTGCAGCTTTTGCCCGTTCGCTTAAGACCTGTCCTCATTTATTATATATCCTTCAACTTATCAGTTACTAACGACAGAAGCATATAATCACGAAGCAAAAACAGCAAAGAAAGGTTGGCGTTGTGCAGTAAAGGATATTTTAACTGAATTAAAATTAAAAATAAAAATGAATACTTGCCTGCACAGCGAGCAACAGAGCTCCATCGGCCTTCGCCATAAAGGGTGATGTAGTTGCTCAGAATAGAGTCCTCTTCCTCTGTCCATGCACCTTTCTTTATTTCTACTGTCTCTGCTTCATTACCGCACGGAGCGGATGAGCCACAATTGGACACACTTCTTGTCATGGTATGCTCCCCGCTGCAATCTATCTCCCTCGGTTTAGAGTAAGAAAAAATCCGGGCTCGTATTTCTCAAAATGAATGTTTTGGTCTAATTATATAGTTCAACACGCTTAACTAAGAAGCAGATTGCTTGAAACCGTCGCCTCAATCTGGTATTGGATTTAGAACTAACTACACGGAAATTTAAATGTTTGCAGCCTACACTTGTTAATAAATTGTCATCAGTGCGGTTCATTGTTGTTTACATGTAAAACATGAATTAAAAAATGTAGAAGGCTTAGCTACCCACCTTTGAAGTTGTGCTCTTTGAAATTTTTACGCTGGGAGCTAATTGAAGCACCACGCCATAATTATAATTTACATTTACGAAATTAAGCCTAATATTTGATCCCTTGAACATAAATAGTCACACTGGTGGGTCCTACAATGCAAAAGGTTAGGGCAGTGGGATGCCAGTGCTGAGTCGCATAAAATAATTACCTTTACTTGCAGCACAATTGATGATTATTAAATAAGCAAATGAAAAATGCTTTTTGACCTGAGCACTTTGATGTTTTTGACCTTGTTATTTTGAGCTTAGCCTCTGACTTATCGTTTTTTTTTTAGGGCAGGGTAGGAGAGGAGAGGAAGGACGGGATAAGGGAGGATGACAGGCTTTTAATCTTATGTTATTTGGTTTGATTTAAAAAAAAAAAAGAGAGAAGAATATTTAAAGATCTCTTGTTTGGTTTCAAGGAGGAATGAGAATGATAGTAATAATTAATTTACTATTTTATCCCTATATATTAGTTTATATTTTCATTTATATAATCCTCTGGTCCTTAATACATGATCTAATTGTTAAGTTAATTTTTATCCTAAATATAAAACCTATTTCTCATATTTATCAATTTTTTCTAAATTACTCTTATTGATATTCCCTCAACTATAATCAAGTAAAAGAAAGATGGAGGATATTAAAGAAGGTGATTATAATGTTTTAGGCAAAACATATCATATTTTTCACTATTAACTAATTTACCCAATCAAATTAGTTAAATAACTCTTGTATTAAGGACCGAAAGAGTATTATATAAATTTATTTACATCTTATTTCAAATTGTAAAATGGTATAGTTCAATAATTATTCAGTCTTATCATATTAGTATTTAAAAATTAGTACAGTAATTTTTTATTTTAATAAATACAATATAATTTAAATAATCAACTTAATAAATTTTATATGCTCCAAAAAAATTAAATTTTCGTTCTTTTCCTATTATTTGTTTTCTTTCCAACTTTATCTTAATTAATAACATAATTAGATTTGTAAAAATTAATTCATTTTGTAATAATATAATTTTTCGTTGCAATAATATTTTTATTTTAAGTTAATTTTTATTATAATATATTTTTAATTATAATAATATCTATTTTTTATTTTTTCTTATGATAATATATTTTTATTTAAAATAAATCTTATAATAATAAATCTTATAGATATTAATGAAATATCACAAAAATATATGGTCTAGTATTTTGACTCCATTTCAACAAATCCCAACTCGAGGAAGCCAAAATGGGGCAAGGGAGGCTCTCTCCTCCCCTCCAAAATTTCTAACTAAATTTTTCCTCCCCTCCCCTATCATTCCCTCTAACCAAACACCCCCTTCCCTTGGGGCCATATTCATAGACGCAAAAAGGAGAAACCTCTAGTATATTCCGCAATCCTGCACCGGGAGCGGGAGCAACCGCATGGCTAGAACATGGAATCCTTTATTTTCCATCAAACAAGCATCCGCGTATTAGTGAGCTCAACTATTGACTCTCTATGGTATCTTCTCTGCAGCTATTTGATCTTTCTGTATTCTTGCCTCAAACATGAAAGTCCCCTGTTTCTTGCAAGTAGTCCAACAATTCAGCATTCGTAGCATCACTGATCCCTAATGGGAGTAATCAACAATCCGATTGTCATAAACTTATATGATAACACCGCCACAGCCTGCACAGCCACGACTTCCTTTACCATTTAGCAGCATCATCATCATTGAATTTCACTCATCCGTCGCATTCAACTCATTAACACATTCTGTCATCCTAGGAGTAAAGATGCCCCTATGGAGCTAATTCGGATCCTCTACACTATTCTGCGTTTCTACTACGCAGTCTTGAAAAAAATGTTTATTTAAACCTGTATCAATTGCGGCAAGAACTTTCTTGATGATCTCCAGGTGCCCAAATCTTGAAGTCTTTCGAAGTTGAGCAGCGCAATAATTGTGCATAAAGAAACTTGGAGGCCAGCATGAAACAGTTAGATGCCACACTGGTTAATGAGAATTGCTCCTTCAACTATGGAACTGGTCCGTGTAAGATTTCTTGTGGCATTAAGAGATTCAAGTCCCTTTAGATATCTTATTCATGCTTTAACTGATTTCCTGACGGGCACGGTGATTGACACACTTATTCCCAAGGTGCTTTCCTGCTTGATTATACAAATGCAATCGATTCTGCTCTGCCCTTCCCTGTCCTATTCTTGATTCGGTTCCCCATCTTTCTTTAGGCCAACTGTTCAACCTGAAACACCCTACTGACTTTTTTTTTTTTTGACAAGAAAAACACCTTACTGACTGAACTTACCGCATATATCCCGGAGGATTCGTTTGGCAGGGCAGGCAAGATGTTCCAGCCCGCAGTGCACCTTGTTTAACAGCAGGGGCTTCGCAATTCTTAAGTCATTCTCTGTTGTTCTCTTTACTAATCATCAAACAGTCTGGGGTTTCCACTCTAATCAACTTTGGGTTTCTTCCTTCTTTTTTTTTTTTTAAAAAACTTCTTAGATTTATCAATCGCTAAGCCTAGCAGATGCGTTTTCCCATCTTTTTCCCACCGAGCAATCATACTTCAAAACAGGATTGCCAGGATTTGGCAAAACAAAAGTCCTCAGGACATGTAGAATTGCGTCATTAATTTCAGGTGACGTTTTTTTTTAATTTAAATCAGCCTGACAGATAAATTATCCACGAGTCATCTATCTTATTGACTCATCCAGCATTTGTCATAGTTAACAAAAGAAGACAGGTTCGGGTACCTGTATATGCAGAGTCAATCCGGCTGCCCCTGCACCGACGATTTCTGGGTAGAGACATGTATTTATTAGCAAATTTTCAAAGGTCATATCGATCAGATACTGATTTAAGTCCGCGATTTTACTTTCAAATATCGAATAAAACATCTCAAGAGGTCTCAGACTATAGGAGACATCATTATCTAAAACAAGATCATCAGCCAATGTAGGCAATTTTAATTCATCACTGACCTCGCCCATCAAACCTAATCAAGGATACTATCTCAATAGGAAAAACATAAACAGAACAACATGAAATTTACGGTTTAAATAAATGTGAAGCGAGTGGAGGGATCGATGATATAGAGGGGGAAAGAGACCACTCAGTGGTGGCTATGGAGTATAAGGTTCGATTCTGCCAGCAATCTTCCTCAACTTGAAATATCAGAAGAGGGAGCTTATGTATCCTCATCGTGGATTCTCTTTCCCCAAAATATGAAAGAAAAAGTCGATTAATTTGAAAGCACACAGAAAAATAACATCGGGAAAGAATTTAAAAGAAGAATAACGAGGAAGGAAGAGATCACTCAGGTCAGCGGGGTGGTCGACACGCAAAGTATCATCCCAATAGAGAGAGAACCCTGCATTCCGGTCTGTTGAGCTTGAATTTTATGGGGTCATCACCGTGATCTCCTCATAAAGGTTACAAAATCATACTAAAAGATGAGAGATTTGCGTAGTAAAAGCAAAAAAGGGGGGTTTAAACGAAATCGGAAACCTACAACCGCGGAAGCTTTTTCATACAGGAGTGGCCAAGACGGCGGCTTGAGGAAAAATTCTTCCCAGCCTCTCAATTTATAGGACGCACACACTCTAGGGCTTTTTTTTACACTTTAGGGTTTCAGAGATTAGCGACCTCTCCGGGATAAATCGCCGTCAGTGTTTTTTTAATTTGAATAACTCATGAGCAGATAAATAATGAATGTCTGGCGTCTGGCCAATAAAAAAGATAAATAAATAATGAATGATTTATTTTTTAGCTATGTCAGAGAAATAGGGATAAAAATTATTTGTTTGTTAGGATTTAATTGTTAAATTCTAGTTGAAATATAATAGCATGATTGGAATAAAAATTGTTTCGTCTAATTTATTCCGTCATTATATTTTTACATATTAATAATAGAAAAATATATTTCATGACATGATGAATTTTACTTTAACTTCGTTAGCAAAAAAAAAAAAGAATTTTGCTTTACCTGCGAGAAATTTCTACCTGCAGTAAGAATGTACATGTGTCTTCACCAAAAAAAAAAAAAGAATGTACATGCGCACATGTTGTTAGGAACTGTGACCATTGGCCAGAAAAATAAATCATATATAAATTGTTTAAAAAAAGTTAATCTAGCATTTTAGCAGCAGCAGCGAGTTACTTGTTTGGTGCGAGGGGATGAGCTAGAGGAAAGAGGGAAGGAGGAAATAAAACATTTAACAAGTTTAATTTAAAAAAATTAAAGAAATAGGATTTTAAAATTTTGGTAAAAACTATGTAAAATAAAAGAAGAAGAAAATTTAATTAAAAATTTTTAATTTCACTTTTTTAATTGTTTAAGTCAAGCTCAATAAAATTTTTCCTCTCATCTATTTCTCTCACACCAAATAGACGCTTACTCTATATTTGATATGAGAGAAATAGAAGAAAAGAAAAGGGGAAAAAATTTAATAAGCTCAGTTTAAAAAATTAAAGCAATAAGATTAAAAAAAATTAATTAGTTTTCATTACTCTTTTATCTTACAATTTTTTTATATTAAAATTTCAAAATCTCATTTTTTTAATTTTTTTTAATTAAGCTTATTAAAAAAATTTCTCCGCTTCCCTCATCTGAGTCATGCCAAACGATCCATTACGGGATTTAAAATATAACAAAAATGAGAGCAAACCTTATTTTCATAATACTTAACTCAATTAATATTTAATGAGAACACAAAAGAGAATGAAGGGGAGAACAACTCTTATGCTTTACCTGATAGGAATAAAAGTTGAGAGGAAGAAAAATATAGTTATGCTTAGATAGACTAGAGAAAATAAAAAAAAATTATGTAAAATATTTATGAAAATATATTATATATAAAATTAAATAAAATTAAAATTGTAATAAGAAGAAAATTATACTAATATTAGTGTCATCAAATAATTTAAAATTAAGTTATTTGGTTTATATGTATTTTTTAGATCATTATATCTTAAAATCAAATTATTTAGTAAAAATGTTGTCTTAAGATTAAAAAAAAATTAAAAAGTGAATACTTTTTAGAGAATAGTAAAAGAAAATAAATAGAGAGAAAACAACTTAAGAAAACACGTTCAGTGTTCAATGTTCACCCCTCGTTTAACTAGGGATGAGTATTCGGTTATTCAGTTCGATTAATGTAAATAACCGAATAACCGAATATAGCATAAATACAACACCGAACCGAAACCGAACATGGTAATTGGTAAGATAACCGAACTGAAATAACTGAAAATATTTCGGTCTGGTTAGTAGAGTAATTCAGTTATTGGGCTTTTTTAATACTATTATGGCCCAACTAAGCTGGACCCTTTTTTTTTTGGGTAAATCCGTTTAAATTGGTCTCTCCTGATATGTTTTTTGCCTGATGATGACACCAAACCCTTTTTGCATGCTGATGACACCAAATGACCCATTAAAATATAAATTTGAATCACCACTTGCATCTCACAAATTTTCCAGGTCCTCCATTTTCAATTTTTATATGTTAGTTACATATCAATTTTAAAATATAAATATATAATAGTAGAATAAATAATAATTAACCTCTTTCAAGCATAAGTCTATAAGAACATACAAACCAACAAAAAAAAATCCAAATATAATTAAAATTCAAACAAACCAACCACGTAACAATAACATAACATGTGAAATTTAAAATTACAACAAATTCCAGCCCCTTGTATCCAAATTCCTTGCATGCAACTTGCCACCAACACCTAATTAAGTAAAAAAAAAAAAAACAATTACAACAGATTATATAAGAAACCAAATGAAGAAACCAGTTACATGAGAGGTATTCTGGATTTAGACACATATCATATATATTGTTCTGGATTTAGACATATATCATATATCTATAATTTACATCTATGCGTATATATAGTTACATACTACCAAAATGACGTGCTCTTGTATACTGCCATGTTAATTTCCTTGAAACATCAGTTTTTGACTTGCTAACATATCATTCGGAGAATTTAAGGGGACATATCATTCGGAGAATTTAAGGGGACTAATGCACGGTAGAGACTAGGAAGGCCGCATATTGATCTTTAACATATGCTTTACTTGAAATTTCAAATTGCAAACAATAGTTTCTTCAAATTATTGATAATTCTTGTACAACTCCGACCCAACAATCCTTTGCTGTACATTTTCATTAGCATAACATATCTTTGGTATTCTGGATTTAGACATATATTGTTCTGAAATAAAAGTATAGAAATATTTCTACTTAAAAAAAAATACTTGGATTTTGTTTTGTGAATTGTGATCTAAAGCTCACTTGAGCATAGTGGAGAGTGAATATTACGAAGTTGAAATGCGCTATCTTTACATCTATCTGGAGAAATAGATCATTATCTTTTAAGAAAGCCTGAAATGGAGGAAACTTCAGTCACATTTTCAAATATTCCACATACTAAAGGAAATCAAATGTTTGTTTATATATGATGGAGGAACAGATCATTAATCATGGACTCACGACTCATCACTCATGGTCACTGATGCAGACGAGGCTGTGTCACTGTCAGAGACTGGAGAGGACACCAGAGAACAGCAGGCTTCATAGGGGTGGCTACTGGCAAAGACAAAGCAGGGGTGATGTCCAAATGGCAAATAAACTAAACTGACTGAAGGCGGCAGTGACAATTGAGGTAGGAGAAGAAGGTGAGAAGTTGAGTGAGAACTGAGGAAGAAGGAGGGGACTCATAGGAGGCTGCGGCGTGCGACTGGGATTTAAGGCAATTGGGCGAGTTCGAGTGAGAGTGTGATCTATTGCGTTCGATTGGGTGGGGTGTGAGTGTGATTGAAGGAGTAAACCTTGAGTCCTGACGGTGCGTTTTGCGCGAGAGGTGAGGGTCTGAGAGAGGGACCGAAATATTTTAAGGAAGAGGAGAAAAATAAAAATAATAGAAAAAAGAGAAAAATAAAAGTAAATAAAAACAAATTTTAAATTCGATTATTCGGTTATAACCAAAATATTTTTATACACATTGAACCGAACACCGAAAATCGAAATAACCGAAAAAATAAAAACCGAATTAACCGAACCAAAAAAACCGAATTAATTTCGGTTCGGTTCGGTTTTGCTCATGCCCTACGCTTAACCATCTGCTGCCCCCAGTCCTCTTGCTCTTATTCTCATGAATAATCTCCGAATAGTAATTGATGATGGGAGAGGAATGCAGTGTGAGATGGATACAGGTGTCAGAATAGAGTGCGGTGAGAAAGATGCATGATTGACCTATCATTATTGGGAGCAAGTGGTTGGTCCAATCACATCGCTCACTCATGTAATTTTAGGAATCAAGGCTTCTCACTACGTGAGCCGTGAGCATACAAAATCCTGTCCCCTCCTCCTGTTGCATGTTTTACTGCCAAACCTCGTCCAGCATTTGGTCCCAGTTAAAAATATTTTACAAAAGGGGGAAAAAAACCAATCCAAACCAAACCAAAGCGAGACGAGAGGCCCTGTCTAGATTATATTGATGCTTCGCGGCAGACGCTACAAGACTGGAATAATAGTGTTCAAGTGAAAACAGACAAACCGCCACAGAATCACAAAGACAATTAGTTAGTTAATAACATCAACAATAAGATTAAAAGAAACGCATTGATCCTGCCACGCCCAACAGTGCCCACGCGATTACTGCTAAAGGTCTGCCTAACTAATGAGCAGAATCCTTCTTTATCCATGGAACGAGGCTAATGAATCTGGTGCGTTCATATAATTTAGTTGCGTGCAGCGAGCAGTGGGCGGAGGAAATGGAGAACAGAGAACGTGTCTCAAGTCTCAGCTCAACAAAAAGCGCCTGAGAGAAAAAGGGCACCCGACAACGTCTTCTGCAGATATCTGAAAGGCCAGATTCCTAGTATTCCAGTTTGCCAACATTTACTCAGCATCATCCGCTTCCCACTTCTGACCTTTCCCGCCAGTCCCGTATAAATATATTAATCAATACTCATTTACATTTTTTTTTCTAAAATATAGGTATCTTTTGATGGGAGGTAATCCTTCGAGGCAGAGAAGGGCATGCCAACATGTCTCACTTCCGACTTGACTTTGAGATTAATTGCTCCCACCAAGTCAATCCTTTTTCATCTCATTTTTACCCGAGTTAGCTTTTTTTTTTTAAAAAAAAAAAGTCCACGCCTCCTTCGTTAAACATCCTTAACAAAAATCAATTCCTTAATTATTATATGATTACTAAAGTCACCCAGCACCCCCACCTCTGTCTATCATATTATTAATCGCCTCTCTCTCTTCCCCCCATCTTCCTCCTCCCCTCCCTTATATATACACGCACGCACACAATGCCACCTTCTCCAACCGCAGCTATCCCTCTGTCCATGTTCTTTATATCCATCTCTATCCTTTCGCATCCCTTGCTCCTCCTCAGCTATGGTCGTTCCCTCTTCAAATTCCATGAGAAGCAAGAAAACAAATGCCGTGGGAATCCCGACTGTGGATCTTTCCATGGAAAGGTCAGAGTTATCGGAATTGGTGATAAAGGCATGCGAGCAATATGGCTTCTTCAAGGCGGTGAACCACGGCGTGCCGGAGGAGGTCATTTCCAGATTGGAAAACGAAGGAATTTGAATTCTTTTCCAAATCCACCTCAGAGAAGCGACAGGCTGGTCCGGCCACACCGTTTGGTTATGGTTGCAGAAACATAGGCCCCAGTGGGGACATGGGTGACCTCGAGTATCTCCTTCTGCATACAAATCCTCTCTCCATCTCCGACAGATCCAAAACCATCTCCAACAACCCTACCGACTTCAGGTTACCACTTACTGCAACTACTTTAATTATTCTTTTATCTTTCTCCCATATTTATATATACTTCTTCATTAGTTACATATTACAGTCTTCAAACATATTAAAAAGTCGCGTCTTATAGAAGTAGAATAACAGGCACAGACACAGGGTTGGCCAAAAATTAATCTATATTATATGGATTTGACTTGGATAGCAAACCAAGAGGAAGAGGGGGAACAAGAGCTTGGTGTGTGTTTCTTATATGCCAAGCAGGATGGCGGGTCTGTGCTGACTCTCTGCTGAGTAGGACTAAAATTTTTCTCTCTCTAAACTACGCTGACGTTTGGACGATCATGAATTATTGTGAATCTTAATTCGTTCATTGTTTGTTACTGACAGCTGGCCGATGAACGTACAGTATAGTTTAAGCTGATTTTGCCCGCCAACTGATGTTTGTTATGTGTCCCAGACCAGACATGTTTTATTTTTGCTGGTCTCTCAAGCGCAGAAAGAAAAAGTCAGGATATTAAGCTTCACGCTTAATCTAGTAAATACATGATTAGATGATTGTGTGGACTTTCTATTTTTGAGTAGATGTGTGGTGTATGTATTCTTGTTTTCATGTTACTGCTTCGTCTGTCTGAAAGCGACTCGCACGCACTGTGTTATATGCGCGTCGGGACCGATTAGTCGGCCATCCCACTCTGGTTCCCGACTTTCCACGGGGTCCTCCGTTCTTGACGCGTCTAGGTTTTTAACTTAACATCGTCATGATTTTCTCACCCCTCTTTGTAATTATTTGATTGTCTCCCTCTGTCTACCGCTTGATTCCTTGCAGTGTATGTGAGTAAGCTAAGCTTGCTTACGGCTGAATTTTCTATTAATTCAGAACTGAACAGGTTTGCAGCAACACGTGCACTACTCCCACATGCACGTGTTTCATTTCATATTTGTTCGCAAAAATAAAATATATATGATTCAGTTTTTTGTTTACTCTAATCAACATATATATATATATGTACACATGTGTTTTTACATATATATACTGACACGGCTTTTGTTCTGCGCTGCTATTGAGTAGTGTATATATTTTTGAGACACCATACGTCATAGCAAATCAAATAAAACTAATTTTACAGGAAGAAATGAAATGACTCTGCCGGGTGAGCTTCCAATCAAACTATAGCCAGCCAGATGCGGTAAGTTCCCTGGAATACTGGCGAAGTGACCGTAGCAGAGTATTCTGCTAATTTTTTCTGGAAGAAAAGTATGACCAGAACAGTGGGCCCTGCCCTTGTAAATCATCATGTGGAATTGCTTAATCTCTGGCTGTTCAGCTAACCACCGATGATTACTTCGTGGAATGGATACGTGAAAACTCCACGAGCATCTAAATCTTTTGAATGAGTTATGAGCCAGCCACCACCAGTCCAGAATTCATTAAATGGGACACTAGGACAAGTGGCAAACACGGGGGTTCACTTGGAATATACATATATGTATAAATATTTCTGCTTTGGGCAAAACGCCAAGTGAGCACATAATCATGCTGCTCAAGGAACATACTAGATTCATAACCAAAAGTCAGAAAGACATCAATAACTGGAGGATTATTATATTAAATCGAGAGCTGATCAGGGACGCTCAGAGCCACTCGGTGCTGAGGATCAATCACTACCCTCCATCCAAGAGCAGCGCCAAGCGGGACCCATCCATGGGGTTCGGGGAGCATTCAGACCCTCAGATACTGACGATCCTGCGGTCTACGGAGGTCGGGGGACTCCAGATCTGCACGCGGGACGGGCTCATCCATCTTATTGACTCATCCAGCATTTGTCACCGTGAACACAAAAACAGGTTCGGGTACCTGTATATGCAGAGTCAATCCGGCTGCCCCTGCTCCAACGATTTCTGCGTAGAGACATGTATTTATTAGCAAATTTTCAAAGGTCATATCGATCAGACAGTGATCTAAGTCCGTGAATTTATTTTCAAATATCGAATAAAACATCTCAAGAGGTCTCAGACTATAGGAGACATCATTATCTAAAAAAGATCATCAGCCAATGTCGGCAATTTTAATTCATCACTGACCTCGCCCATCAAACACCTAATCAAGGATAATATTTCAATAGGAAAAATATAAACAGAACAACATGAAATTTACGGTTTAAATAAGTGTGAAGCGAGTGGAGGGATCGATGATATAGAGGGGGAAAGAGACCACTCAGTGGTGGCTATGGAGTATAAGGTTCGATTCTGCCGGCAGTCTTCCTCAATTTGAAATATCAGAAGAGGGAGCTTATGTATCCGTTTCGTGGATTCTCTTTCCCCAAAATATGAAAGAAAAAGTCGATTAATTTAAAATCACACAGAAAAAAACATCGGGAAAGAATATAAAAGAAGAATAACGAGGAAGGAAGAGATCACTCAGGTCAGCGGGGTGGTCGACACGCAAAGTATCATCTCAATATAGAGAGAACCCTGCATTCCGGTCTGTTGAGCTTGAATTTTATGGGGTCATCACGGTGATCTCTTCATAAAGGTTACAAAAACATACTGGAAGATGAGAGAATTGCGTAGTAAAAGGGAAAAGGGAGGTTTAAAACGAAATCGGAAACCCAGAACCGCCAAAGCTTTTTCTTAGCAGGAATGACCATGACGGCTGCCTCAAGAAACTACTGCCAGCTCCCGGCATCTCTATTTATAGGACGCATATACTTTGGGGCCTTTTTTTTTTTTTTTTTTTTCTTTTTTTATGGCCAGCATACACTTTAGGTTTTCAGAGATTGCGACCTATCCGGAATAAATTGCCGTCAGTATTTTTTCCCCTCTTTTTTTTTTTTTTACTACTTCCAATCTTGATTATAAGAACTAGTTAACTAATTTAAAAAATTAAAAAAATAAATTAAGTTAAGTTATTTATAATAAATAGGTGTTGTCTTTTCTAAAATATTTTTACTAATCAAATTTACTAGCTAGAATTACTATTATTAAAGATACTACCTTGGAAAGAAATGCATAAATATGATAGACAAAGTGGATTGTGGTCTTATAATTAAGACTAAAATAAAAATCAAACGATATCTTATATTAAGGATCGGAACTAGTATTTTTTATACAGTACCTTTTACGATTTTTTAATTTGACTAACCTATGAGCAGATAAATAATGAACGCCTGGCCAAAAAAAAAAGATAAATAAATCATGAATGTTTTATTTTTTTTAACTATGTTAGAAAAATAGGGATAAAAATTATTTGTTTGTTAGGATTTAATTGTTAAATTCTAGTTGAAATATAATAACATGATTGGAATAAAAATTGTTTCGTCTAATTTATTCCGTCATTATATTTTTATATATTGATAATAGAAAAATATATTTCATGACATAATGAATTTTGAGAGAATGACTAAAAAAAAAAGTTGAAAATTACAAATCCCAAATCAGATTTAGTAACACGATTTTTTTTTGTACTGATAAGTCTAAATTTACAAATGACAATAAATTTTTATTGTTGATATTTACAAAATTCTAACTTTTTTTTTGTCATTGTCCCATAAATTTTACTCTAACTTTGTTGCCCAAAAAACAAAAAAGAATTTTACTTTGCCTGGGAGAAATTTCTACCCGTAGTAAGAATGTACATGTGCACATGTCGCTAGGAACCGTCACAATTGGCCAGAAAAATAAATCACATATAAATCATTCTGAAAAAGTTAATCAAAATCAATCATTTCTTTAAAAATATAAATAGAGCATTTTAGCAGCAGCGAGTTACTTGTTTGGTACGAAGGAGTTAGAAGAAAGAAGGAAGAAAGAAATTAAACATTTAATAAGTTTAATTTAAAAAATTAAAAAAATATTTTGAAATTTTGGTAAAAAGAATATGTAAGATAAAAGAGAACAAAAATTTAATTAAAAACTTTTAATCTCATTTTTTCAATTTTTTAGATCAAACTCATTAAAATTTTTTACTTCATGTTATGAGGGAAATAGGGGAAAGAAGGAAGAAGAAAAATTTTAACAAGCTAAATTTAAAAATTAAAGAAAAGAAATTAAAATTTTTAATTAATTTTAATTACTCTTTTATCTTATAACTTTTTTATATTAAAATTTTAAAATCTTACTTTTTAATTTTTTAAATTAATTTTATTAAAAAAATTTCTCCTTTCTCTTTATTTTTATTATACCAAACAAACCATTGTGAAATTTAAAATATAGCGAGAATGAGAGCAAATCTTACTTTCATAATACTTAACTCAGTTAATACTGCCTCCGGTCCTTTTATGCTTTACTCGAAGGGAAGAAAAATAGAGAAAAAGAAAATTAAAAATATTATCATTCCTATTATTAAAATAGATGAAAAAAATTAAAAAAAAAGAAAAGAAAATGAGTAAATATCTAAACGAGTAAAATATTTATGAAAATATATTATGTATGGAATTAAATAATCAAATTAAAATTAAAATTAAGGAAAATTATACTAATATTTTTATCATCAAATAATTTAAAATCAAGTAATTTGGTTTATATGTATTTTCAGATTATTATATTTAAAATCAAATTATTTAGTAAAAATATTGTTTTAAGATAAAAATAAAAAATAATACTTTTTAGAGAATAGTAGAAGAAAATAAATATGGAGGAAAAAAAGCATGTGAGGATGGGCAACTGAGGAAAACTTATTTTCCTTCCCAAATTTTTTCATTTGAGAGAAAATTTGAAGAGCAAATAAGACATGAAACCCACCTTACTTTTTCTTATATTTTTCTTCTCTCTCATATTTTCAGATTTTCTCTCCTATCAAAGCAGAAAAACTCATTTTTCTTCCTATTTTTTTTAATCCAAACAAGGGTTAGTTTAAACATTAATTTCAACTTTTTAAAGCACAATTAAAATAATGTTAAATTATATTATCAATCTTTTATATTATTACATGTTTTGAGTATTTTTACGTATCCTATTAAAATGAAATGCTATATCACTAAATTTATTTAAAAAATCCTAGAAAAATATTGGTCAGTATGAAAAAGTTTGGACTTGAACAGGGAAAACGTAATTCATAGGAAATAAAAAATTCCGTTAAACGATAGAAATCAGCTTCGTTGGAAGCCACATTTTTTTTTTCTTTTTTTATCAAATTGCCCCCTTGCATTCCAAACTAATTTTCACTTTTCGGCCTCTGCAGTTCTTTGCTTCATCGTCGCTTCCTGTTAGCAACTTCACTGTCCGCCGTTCACAGCTTCGTCTCCGACCACCGCTCACAGCCTTGTCATCTCTCATTTACATATTTACTGTTGTAACATTAATTCCATGTTTAACATGCACAAGTTAAATTGTGGGCTTCATTCCCACAAATGCCCTTCCACCAAAGCAGTCTGATCAACTCACGAGCACTAAATAAAATCAAATCCCAAACACAAGGCTGTGATTTATTGTTTGAAACCAAACCATAATTTCAAAAGTATTTTTACGATTTACAAAGTAAATATGTGGAGGAGTTTGTCTTGTAAAATGTGCTTCTGAGGGTGTCAAACACTTTTTTAGTTTCATTGCCATCCCGCAAGCTTCATCTTTAACGCCGTTTTCCTTCACTACTTCGCGTCAACACAGCAATTTCGCGGAGATCACACTTTTCACGGAGGCCGTGGAAGAGGCCCCACAGAAAAGAATGAAAGAGCAGAGAAGCTGCGGTTTACAGGTGATAAAAGTCAATGAAGTCATTCAGCTGTGCTTCCCCTCAGTGGCTTAACATGCACAAGTTAAATTGTGGGCTTCATTCCCACAAATGCCCTTCCACCAGAGCAGTCTGATCAACTCACGAGCACTAAATAAAATCAAATCCCAAACACAAGGCTGTGATTTATTGCTTGAAAGGAAGAAGGCACTTTCATTGGCATCATCATTGAAACTCCTCACTGTGTTTCCTCCCTTACTACCTATCTACCTATATACATGTGCGTGTGTGACGCCAAATTACAAGACTGCAGCCCCTTAGAACTCATCACAAAGTTGTTGCCGCAAAAACCATATATTCTCATCGCTCCATAGATTCTCCAGCGAGTCTTCCTGCTCTACTGTCTGGGACACCGACCCGTTTACCGTTGGATGATCCGTTGTTTCACTGCTGCCTGAATTCGAAGCAACTTGGAGCTTAGCATAATTGGGTCTTGTCCACTCTGCTCTCGAGCTATGCTGATAGTCGGACGAGGCCCGAATCCGCTCCAGCATGCGGGGAATCCAAACGTAATGCATGGCGTCTCTGAACTGTTTGCTGTTGACGTCACACTTGAGCTGCTTGGCCTGCTTCATCACTCTGGTTCTCCAATAATTTTTTATCTCGTTGTCTGTTCTCCCTGGCAATTGCTCCGCGATTTTAGACCACCTAGTACATCATGTGACAACCAACAAAAGGGGGGGAGATGATTAAGTATAAGGGATTCCTCCAAATGGGTCAATATCCTCATTCATTCCATGTGACTGACTAAAGTGTCGTAAGTCATAACGAAAAATGACGATTCATACCTATTTCCCCAGCGAGAATGGAGGTCGAGAATCAATATCTGTTCCTGGAGTGTGATATTTCCGCGCCGAACATCGGGACGCAAGTAGTTTAGCCATCTCAGTCTGCAACTTTTGCCCGTTCTATTCAGACCTGTGGTTATTCAACTATTTGCCGTTATAGAATATAAACTATACACGTGACGATGGATGGTGGAAGGCTGGAAGCGCTCAAAGCTTGAACCATGGAAGAGATATTTTGCCAGTAAAACAGAGTGCTCAGTGGTTACCTGCACAGCGAGCGACAAAATTCCACCGACCTTCGCCATGAGTAGTCACGTAATTGGCGAGAATGGTGTCCTCTTCAACAGTCCATGGACCTTTCCTCACGCAAATATCGTCCTCACTTTTATTTGCTGCGGACTCCCATATCATCTTGGAATCCATCCCTCTGTTGTCCAGGAAGCAAGAGAGTACTTGGTGAATGAGGCAAAGGTGGGGAGAAACAAGTGTTCTGGGTTTTGTTTGTTGAACCCGTTATAGGGGGATTGGGAGTTATATATAGAGTCAGAGAAGACTCACTCACTGGTAAGTCTATACAATAAATGAGTGGATCGGCCAATAGTTTTGTGCGTCCAAAAGAAGAGAGCGGAAGTGCTCAATGCTCGATTCATTTAATCTGTAGAAAAGAGGACCTGTTTCAATAAACTATTGAGTTTAATGCGTTTACGAGAATTATGCTGTTATATAGAGTTTGACCCATTGACTTCTCCTTTATCCCCCCAAAGGCACGCTCGACGGAAGATATCATATGTATAAGTTGGGCTATATGTATCTGGTAAACATATCATTCGATCACTTCATTCAATTGCGGAGTGGTTGCACTGCGACGGTGTTATTAATTTTCCATACGTGCCATATCAATAAAGATTTGGAAGCCTTTTGACTGCTATGATCCTTGCTTTTTACCCGTGAGGAATGAGGATGATTAAAGGCCACGAGTTGCACACGCAAGGCCAACCACTGTGCCATACATCTTGTGCTTTAAATATCAAAATGACAATTATCTATTGGGCGAGAAGCATAGAAATGGGATTATAGGAGTCTCTGATTGTCTTGCACGCCCAAGAAAGGCTTTGACCCTTGACAGTTTCCATCACTCAGTCTA